TTTCTGAAGTAATTGCAGGCAATAAGGATGCATGATTAAGGTAGGTTTAATTGTAAACAAGACAATGATTAGCAGCTTTATCAATCCACCAATGGAATCTTCAATCTTCTTCTGCTTCACTTGCACAAGTTGCATCTCAGCCTTAATTTCTGCCACTTTAGTCTACATATTTTTTTGCCTCGTCTGAGCTATATGTAGCAATGCAATCAACCAGATTGAACTCCATTGATGGACACCAAAACCTGTAGTACCCAGAAGCACCATATCTGCAGAAAGAGTATAACTTGTGTGGATTATCCACACTCTTTGATATCCTCACTCCAGCCTTAAACCGGCGCCTGACGTAAACCACATAAACAGTCACCTAGTTGTGTATATAATGTCTTTTCGTATAATATACTGCAAGAAGAAACAAAAAGAGAAAGAAAAGGGTTCTGAATGATTTTGTTTGCTAAAACGCATGTGAAGTAGCTAAGAATTTGTGGACATTGGCTGCCTTTTTTACTCATAAATCTATGACCAAGGAATACTTTACACAGCCAAAAATCAATCTCATATTACATGGATACAACTTTTGTTTGATGGCTCATTTCGAGTCCCTTCCTCGAGTCGTGTATGTTTTCAAAAAATTTGTTCCCAGCTAATTAAACTGCTAAATATCATTTCAACCCTTCGTATTTTCTACTTCTTTATAGGCCTTATAAAACATCTTTCCACTCCCTCTTATTTTTAATATCATTCAATTTTACCTTTATGAAATTGACTCTCAATCCTATCTTTTGCGAAACAACACATTCTGGTTAGGAAAATTATCAACGTTCCATTTATTTTTTAAATTCATAAACTAACAGCAAAAGGGCATTCATTTAGTTTTTCCGATTAGAAAAAAATAAATAAATAATAACCTACTCAAACCCCATAAGTCTAAATCATGTTTAAATTAAGATACTGCTGTTCTAGATTGAAGATCAATATTAGGGCGCAAAGTGACATCCGTACAGCCCTCTGCCATTTAGCAACCTTCTCTGTTGTATTTAACCAAAGATATCTTGCTACCGATATGACGTTCTTCTTTTCAGAAGCGAAAGATAATGCCATGTTGGGAAGCACATCGTGCATCTTAAAGAAGTCTTCACGTTTATCATATAATATTCTTGGAAGATCACTAATTTCCAGTAAGCATGCAAGTTTCAGACTTCCAAAAATATATACTTTGTTTCGTGCAGAACTTATGTTATCAAAATATTCTAGAAATATATTGATCCTCTGGAAATAGGGAACAGTACAAAACAGGCTTTGATGGTATCATCACTCAAACTATCATAGCTTTTAAATGAAGTTATAACCAAAAGAAAATCCATATAACCATTTGGGGTTTATCAGTTTCTGTACGCTGGAGAGTTGTCCATGAACCTTTTTCACAACCAATACACAACAAACTAACATATATACACAGAAGAAAATGATATGTCACACCACAAACACCTTCTGGAGTCCCCGGCTACACAGGAACAATAAAGAGTCCAAACAGTTGCTAGTATTACCGTTGATTCAATCTTCTCGCAACTCTGATAGATAGCATAACAAACTAGTTAACACTGAAACAGAGAAGTGAGATTACTTTTATATTTCCATATAAGAGTTAACTCTAAAGCTTTTTAATTTTAATTTATTAAATACAGAAAATATAAAATTCGGAAGAAGTGTCTGTATTGTAGCGATAAGCTTTACGTGTCATCATTTGCTCAGAAATCAGAATTGAACAAATAACAATAATATTCTCTTGGTCAAATGTATATAGTCAAATTGGATTTAGAGGAAATCAATTTATTGATTAATGATTATTCAGTTTGATACAATTTTCTTATATCTGATATGATTGAATTGGATTAGATATTAATTTTGTATAAATTAGATTGAATTATATATATATTGGATTAGACTGAAAAATTTAAAGTCCAGTATATACTTAAATCGCAATAAATATTATAAAAAATTTATTCTTTTCAAACTGACATTAGTACCTCTAGTACTATGAAACTCTGTCGAATATATCAATTTGGTAATAACTCTTGAAGACCAATTTCATGTCTTTCACATTACTCAACAACTATATATAGTGTACAATCAAAATATTAAATGATCTTTATATCTTCTGATAAATGTTGCATTAATAATGCACAACCACTTACCATTATTACTCTTTACCTTTTTTATTAACATTATTATTATTATTATTATTATTTTATTTTATTTTTGTTCAAGAAGATCAATAATAAATTTTTTATGTACATATAGAAATTTACTAACCCTCCCGAAAATTAATTTTTGGTTTCTCCCTTGACTTATCTCAACTGAACTCCGAATAGTTTTTTGTGTGAAACTCACTCCCAAATCATCATTTTTACTAAGAATTGCTTAATTTTGTTTTTCATTTTCAGAAAAAAAAAGTATACGCATAGAATTTGGTTTTAACTCTCGAATGCCAATTTCATGTCTTTACTATCACTCAACAACTATATATATAGTGTCATAAAANAAAATACTAAACCAAACGCACCCATTATTATTATTATTATTATTTTAGTTTTTTGTTCAAGAAGATCAATAATAAATTTTTTATGTACATATAAAAATTTGCTAACCCTCCTGAAAATTAATTTTTGGTTTCTCCCTTAACTTATCTCAACTGAACTCCTAATAGTTTTTGTATGAAACTCACTCCCAAATCATCATTTTTACTAAGAATTACTAAATTTTGTTTTTCATTTTCAGAAAAAAAAAAAAAAATATATATATATATATACGCATAGAATTTGGTTTTAACTCTCGAATACCAATTTCATGTCTTTACTATTACTCAACAACTATATATATAGTGTCATAAAATAGTAAATGATCTTTATAATTTCCTATATGTTGCATTAATAATACACAACTACTTATCGTACAAAATGGATCACCGCCACTAGAATTGTTAGAGAAACAACATAGCGTCAGGAGTATGAACAATAGATTCAGGAAAGTTTGTAGGTGAAGAACCTAGCTAAAGCGTACGTGGGACCGAGAGTGGCGGTTGGTGTACAGGTATAGTCCAATAAATGAGAAGTATGCATGAAAAGTCCAATATATCATGCCATATTAAGTGGTTCACCACCAACATACAACTTAGCCATTTGCAGAAACAATGAATGGGCGGCTGAAGATCGACAAAGCCCAACAGAAAAGTATGAACAATGAATTTTAAAGTGTAATGTTCAACAAAGGAGAGAGCACTGGTTAGCTGTGAAGTCCAATAAATTTTAGGAAATTTGTAGTTGAAGAACCTAAAGTCCAATAAATGAGGAGTACGCATGAAAAGTGAATTTAGGAATTTGTATTTGAAGAAGCTAAAGTATAATGCCCAATCTCTCAACTCAAAAACATGCTAGAAAATACCTAATGTGCTTAGTTGCTTGTCTCTTCTACAGTGAAATTGTTAAGTGCAAAGATATGAAATTGGACTTGCTTAAATTAGTTGTATTTGAAACTAAATTTGAATGAGGGAACACTATCATAGGACGTGGGCGGCCTAATATTGAATAAGAGATTCATAGTTGTATTTGAAACTAAATTTGAATTAGGGAACACTATCAGTAATATTAATGTTTCCTTTTTCTCTTTTGATTCTGTTACAACCACTAAATATAATACACGTGAAGCGTAAGCAGCCAAATATTGAATAAGAGATTCATATAGTGTACTCCATATTTTCTTATTGAATAATAACATACTTTCTTAGATTTTTTAAATAATAATTCATAAGGAGATCGCGCAGCAGAATACATACATTCGAGATTAATAACATAAGAATAAAATCAAACCGCATAAAGAGACGTAATATTTATGTGGTTTAACATAACTCGATATACAAAAATCCACTATAGTTTTATGAACATAATATACAAAAATACAAAACACCATAAACTCAGCACATAATTAACAGAGCGGAAACAATCCTAGTTTTTAATTACACTCAACCAAGTACCTAGAACAAAAACAATCCTAGTTTTTTAGACACTCTACTCATAATGTTTAATAACTCTTACATCAAATACCTTGTCTTTTCATATTCTCTCGTAATCATGAATTGGTATTCAATGTTATATTTATAGGTAGTATATAGGACATTTTATTTCTTATTGAATTCATATTTCAATTTCTAATAAGACTCAAATAATTCTATTCTTATTTACAATGTATTATTTATTAAATAATTTTACTAAGGATGGGGTGCCCAGACTGTACAAAATTTTGAATTTTTATATATCAAAATTGCAATTTCATCATCTAAATGTTTGTTCTCTCTTTTACTTCGGCTTACCTTTGTTTCAGAAACTTTCATTTTGTCTCTCTTATATGCAATTTCCTAAATAAATTTGTTTGAATTTAGTAATGGTACATCATCCTCAGTTAAATATTTTTGCTTTCGCTTTTGTTCAATGATATAATATCTAAAAAGTATTTATAAGACTATCGTGTGTGTGATTGCAACTGAAAATAGAGAACTGAAAAACAGAGAGAAAGAACAGAGAAAACACAAATCTCTTTACTGAACTTTCGTTAATAACAAAGAAAGAGTGCTACTGTTTTTACATATACTCAATTCAGTAGACTTTAACACTCTAAACGACAGTCTTTTGGGTGTTCATTATTTGAGCTAATGACAGCGTTTCCTTCAATAACTTTGGCACTTTGTTATTTGTCCAACATCGTGTTAGTCATACCGTAAGTTGATATAATTATGTCGCTTGTAATTTTTTTTGAAACTATATTAACAATTAATATGCTTGGTAAATTATTAAACCAAAATAATTTATGGTATCGATGGTGTGGTAACTACTACGTCACCTACTCTCTTTTTACAATAAATTACCTTAGACATAAATATCAGGACATTGATAGCTTCATCGAAACACTATATAATAACAGACTCACACTCGCTCTCTCACACTCTCATATGCATGCTGTTAGGCGAAGTGAACTAAATAATGGCTTCTAAACCAGGAATTCTCACTGATTGGCCATGGAAGCCTCTCGGCAACTTCAAGGTTTTACTTTAAAGTAAACCTTATTTTATCATTTTTTTTTGGCTTTCTATTTGACTAACTCCTTTCATTGTTATTTGATTGATGTGATGAACATTTACAGTATATAGTTTTGGCTCCCTGGGTTATTCACAGCATATACTCATTCATAGTGAAGGATGAGAAGGAGAAAGACCTCTCAACCTTGCTCTTATTCCCACTTATTATATGGCGATTTCTTCACAATCAGATATGGATTAGTCTCTCTCGTTTCAGGACAGCCAAAGGCAGCAATAGAATCCTTGAGAAGTCCATTGAATTTGAACAAGTTGACAGAGAAACAAATTGGTCAGTAAATAGTCAAATATATATCCTTTAATAAAGTCACTTTATAGTAGTAAAAGAAAAAATTTTAAGTTTCTTGAGAGGGGCCTCTCGCACTAATATAATTTTTAATCCTCGCCTACTAGCTTAAGCTCTTAAAACTTTTCCAACTTCAGATCTTCCTCCTTACCGGTTTATTCAAGTTTTTTTTAGCTTGAACTGAAGTATTCTTCTTTCATGCATGCATTAAGCGTTTTTTTTCGTTTCCTAACTATTTAGCTAGCTTTTATGTTGCTTTGTCTTTTCCTTTTGAGGGGTAAGGCTCAAATGTGCCCCTTTCTTTCTCTTCTTTTTATTCCCTTCAATAAATTTTCCAGATCTATTGCTGTTCAAATAAAAAAAAAAAAAAAAAAATATAAATCATAATCTACATAAGACGTCCGTACCTGAAAAATTGTGTTACTATCTATAAGTATACTCTATAGTACTTATGTATGTGAAATTAATCTTATATTAATTACAAGTTCTATTATCACTACAAACCATCTGGTTAAAATTTTTTGAGTTTTTTTCTATTGGATGTTGGCAGGGATGACCAAATATTGTTCAATGGATCCCTAATATATGTTTTCAGCAAGACACTTCCCGGGGGAACTCACGTGCCAATCTGGAGATTAGATGGTGTAATTCTCACTATTCTATTACATGCTGGTCCAGTGGAGTTTCTTTACTACTGGTTTCACAGAGCCCTTCATCACCATTATCTTTACTCTCTCTACCATTCTCATCACCATTCCTCCATTGTCACTGAGCCCATCACCTGTAATTCTCTCTTGATTTTCAGTTTTGATTTTATATTTGCTTGTTTTTTCTCACTTATGTCTACTGTCTGTCTCTCCCGCGGACATCCTGATTTGTAAGAGATTTTTGTCTTTGCCTTTGTGTGGCAGCTGTGATTCATCCATTTGCAGAGCACGTAGTCTATTCCATTCTATTCTCAATACCGATTTTTACAACAATCTTCACTTGTACTGGTTCCGTGGTATCTGTCTTTGGTTACATTACTTACATCGACTTCATGAATAACATGGGACACTGTAATTTCGAGTTCATTCCCAAGTGGCTTTTCTCCATTTTTCCACCTCTCAAGTTCCTCATGTACACTCCTTCGTAAGTCTCTCTTAGCTCTCTCTAATTAACTCACTATAAAGAAATATGATTTGTCCCGACGGAAAAATTGTGTCGCGAAACTATCGTATAATGAGTGTGTTACATATATGAGAATTTTCAATAATCATATCTATACGAGTGTGTTGGAATAATATTAATGTTAAACTCTTATCTTATAACTTAAACTTTTAGATCAAATTATTAACTTAATATGTTACCGAATCTCCATATGGTTCCTAATCCCCACATTTGATGATACATCTTGTTTATTATATATATTATATGAATCTAGAGTGATGCTACTATATAGATACATTAAATATGCAAACTCATCAATCGCGTAGACAATCTTAATTTGGTCGACATTTTATTCATCTACATTTATTATGAGTCAACTTTTTATATACACCAAACAACTCATTTCGTGTCATGTCAATTTATATACAGGGGTCGTACAAATAGTATTATTTATGATTTATCTTTTATTGGGTTGTTCTTTAATGCTCTAATAACATTATATAATGAAATTAATTTTGAATTAATGCCACAGGTTCCACTCCCTTCACCATACACAGTTCAGAACCAACTACTCATTATTCATGCCTCTATATGATTTTATATATGGTTCCATGGACAAATCTTCAGAATCATTATATGAAGATTCATTGAAGAAGAAAGAAGAATTCCCTGATCTAGTGTATCTAACCCACTTGACAACTCCCGAATCAATCTATCATCTACGGCTAGGATTTGCTTCCATGGCAGCTCAGCCTCAATCATCATCGTCAAAATGGTATATATGGTTGATGTTTCCTGTGACCTTATGCTCCATGATGCTCACTTGGATTTGTGGTACTTCTTTTGTGGTTGAGAGGAACCGTTTTAGTGACTTCAAATTGCAAACTTGGGCCATACCTAAGTACTGTTTTCAAGTAAGAGAAGCCTCAATTTCTTTGTTTCTTAACTTGGGTGAATTTCTTTGACCTCCCATAAGGTTTGTAAATAATTTAATCAAACACACACCCTCTAGTTTTGAGGTGGTCGATCTTCTCTAATCCCCTTCATTGCTAAGAAATCCTTATTAGACCTTTCCCATGTCTTTAACAAAAATTATTCAAGTTATTTAAGCGATATTTCCTTAAATATGAGAGATCAACAAACAGTTGGATAATTCCTTGGCTTAATGTCATAGCATATTTTGATTGCAGTACTTCTTGCAATGGCAAAGTGAATCAATCAATAGCTCGATTGAAAAGGCCATACTAGAAGCAGAGAAAAAGGGTGCTAAAGTATTAAGCCTAGGACTCTTGAATCAAGTAAGTATTTCAAATTCCAATTCGGTTAGAATGCAATACCATCCATTGTATTTAGAAAATTTAAAAATATACAAAAAAAAAAAAATATATTGTTTTTAAGTTTANGTTGTCCTGCTCCGGAACTCTCCTATCTTCTGAAATCCGCTCAATTCTGAGTCAAAACTATCCAATTTTGTCTTTATTCGCTAAAAAAGTCCATTTTAACCTGAAACACGAAAAGTAAAGAATTAAGCACCAATTCAGGTAAAAAGGCACTAGAAAGTACCTGAAATCCGTCAAAAAGATTAAATAAAAACTGTATAATTTACGGATTATCATCACACACTGAGGAGACAGTTTAAGGGTGGTTAACTATGGAAGAGTATTTTCATTTTTTAGACAAAAGAGCATATTGGTAATTTTGCTGTGTAATTAAATTTACTGAGGTTGTTGCCTATGTCCAATTTTATTGGAATAATTTAGCAAAATTACGAGTTTAATTATTAAAGTTAATATTAATATTTAATTAAATAATTAAACAGGGACCTATGTGCGATTCCACCTAAGTTTGGTTGCTGCTAAACTTTGGGGGTGGAATTTATAATTGGCTTTTCTATATAAAGAAAAGCAAAATAGGTTTTCGTTGAGAGAATTCATTTTATTCTTGGTTGCTGCCGTGGTAGAGTGAAAAATTAGAGAGAATTTTTCTCTCTTCTTCTTTTCATCTCTTTTTCACTTCATCCTTTCCAAACCTTGAAACCTTAAGCCAAGGATTGGTTCTAGCAAAACCAATCTTTGGTCTCTGACGTCCTGTCTTCATGTGGATGATATGAGTTCGATCCTACACTTGGATTAGTAGCAAGACTGCGTCCAGAGATATTGACGGAGCCTCCAAACGCTGGTATGATCTAATCCTTGTATGGTTTTGTGTTATTTTAATTTAAGAATGTAAGATATATATACATATCAGACCTTGATCTTGGGTTCATCACAGTAATCGATAGGAAAATTTTTGTTTTCTGTTGCGTTTACCTTATTGATTTACTTATATGAAGAGATGGTTGATGGTGGCCATGCGTCTTTGTTGATGTTGTGTTTTCTGTGTTTTTCATTTGCTATATGTGGTTGTTTTTTTTAAGATTGAAGAGAAGATAATGGTCATGATTTTTGGGATTTTGGCAGGGGTGGTTGGGAGCTTGTTCGAGTTTCTAAATTTGGTGTTTGAGAGAGAAATCAAGTGGAAATTCGAATAGAGGTGAGTGGCAGCCGAAAGAACAGAAGAACGAAGCAATATCCAATTTTTCACCAAATCGCAAACCCAATTTCTTATTCAAAAAGCATAATTACTAAATAGCCCCCATTTTGTTCAAACTTCAATGAAGTGCGGTTCTTAAACCGGTTCCAAATTGGTACACCCAAATCTTGGTGCTGGTTCCTTGAATTGGTGGAACCAATATTGGAACCGCATAGTATCGGTTCTACCCATTGGGGAACCAGAACCGATCCTATGGTCGGTTTCGAGTAGGAACCTGAACCAACACCCTAGGTAGCTATTGGTTCCTTGCACACCCCTAGTACCAATATTGGGAATGTAACTTTAAAAAGTATTCTGAAGTAATGTCCTTTTGCTTGTTATTGAACAAAATAATGAATTGTTGCTGAGAAACCATCAGACTTGTCCTACTGGAACTCAATAATTCCTTGAAGTGAACGCGACTACCAATAGTAATAATTATGGGTGTGGGCATGGTCGAGATCAGGGGGGAAATAGTTTTCAACCCAAAGGTGATAATATTAAGAAGTTTCAGTCAAACCACCAGAAGTGGAACAAGGCTAAACCAAAGCATGAGAAAAGAAATAACTTACATACAAAATCCTAAAATGTAATGAAAACAAGTGCTATAGATGCGTAGGAAATGGTCATTGGTCGAGTACTTGTCGTACACCCAAACACTTGGTAGAACAATATCAAGCATCAATAAAGGTTAAAATATAGAGACAAACCATATTAGTAATTCTAATCTAAGAGTTTTAAGAGAAAACAGAGAAAAGGATACAGAGGAAAAAACGAAGAGCAGGTTTTGAAAAATTCTCATGTGCTTTTACTTACTTTTACTTTGTATAGTAAATGCACTTTTTATAGTGCTCATAACAGTAGCTAACCAACACACAATAGTAGCTAACTAACTCAGTCCTTAACTAACTCAGTTTATAGGTTACTTAACTAACCTTTTTCTAACTCTTACTAACATCCTCCCTTAAACTGGACTACTTTGAACTACACTTAGCATTTGTTAACATCTTTCTGTAAACAGAACAACTTTAAACATAACAACTTAAGACTACACCAACTCTTGCTCATATCCTGCCATAAACTTGACTTGGGTGATGTCTTCAGAGGAATTGAGCAATTTGTAGATAAAGATCAACCACATAATTCTGTAGGAGCAAGCTTCTACTTTGAATCAACCACATAAAGTTGAATCAACCATATAAAGATCTACCACATAATTCTGTAGGAGCAAGCTTCCACTTTGAATCAACCACATAAAGCTGAATCAACCACTGTCCACTTTGAATCAACTACATAAAGCTGAATCAACCACATAAAAATCAATCACATAAAGCTGAATCAACTACAAAATTCTGTAGGAGCTAGCTTCACTTTGAATAAACCATATAAAGCTGAATTCAATTCAAGCAAAGGAACTTGATATTACAGCATAAGCAAAACGAGCTTGATACTGCAGGAGCAGATTTCCAGGCAAAATTCGAGAACACCAACTGATTAGCACTAAACAGACTAGGCTTCAATTCTGCAGAAAACCAAGCAAACTGAAACTGGGAAAAGTAAATTGATGATGCATGAGCAACTTCCAAGTAAGCAAGCATAAGTAAAGAACACCAACTAATTAGCACTTAAACAGGCTAGGCTTCAATTCTGCAGAAAACCAAAATAAAACTGAAACCCAGTAAGGTGAACTGATGATGTAGGAGCAATTTCCAAGTAACAAGCATCAATTTTGCAGAAAACCAAAATAACATTGAAACCCAGTAAAGTGAACTGATGATGCAGGAGCAGTTTCCAAGTAACAAGCATAAGTAAAGCGCATAGCAATTTGCAGATTAATTCTGCTGTAAATCTGCAGAAGCAACTTCCAAGTTGCTGTCTGAACCATTATCTGCAGCAAAAATTTCTAGAATATCAGTTTGTAAAGAAGAAGCAATCACTGTTAACTTTCCTCTTAGGATCTCAAAACGTGCAGCTGATAGAGATTTAGTAAAAATATCTGCAGTTTGATACTCAATAGGAACATATTGCACTTTCAGATTATTAGTTGCTACTTGTTCCCTTATATAATGTGCATCCAGTTCAATGTGCTTGGTTCAGGCGTGAAATACTGGATTTGATGCAAGGGATCTAGCACTTTGATTATCACACCAAATGATAGGGATTTCAGGAAGATGCATACCAATTTCAGAAAATAAACTCCTAAACCATGCAATTTCAGTGGCTCCTTGTGCAAGTGCTCTATATTTTGCCTCCGTAGAAGATAGAGATACTTCTTGGAGCTCCATTGTAGTAGATTAGAGCCAAGAAACGGACAGCAGCCACTAGTGGACCTTCTGTCCTGTAGGTTGCCTTCCCAATCTGCATCAGTGAAGCACTCAAGGTGAAATCTGCTTACTTTAGTGAAATGTACTCCAAAATGTGTAGTACCTTTGAGATATCTCAAAAGCCTTTTGCAGGCCTGCCAGTGTAATTGAGTAAGGGCCTTGAGAAATTGGATAAGTTTGTTGATAGAGTAAGCAATATCAGGCCTTGACAGGGTTAGATATTGCAATGTCCCAATTGTGCTTCTGTAGAGTGATGGTTTATCAAACAGCTCACTGTCTTCAAAGTTCAGCTTATTACCTAAAGTCATAGGAGTAAGGTAGGATTTTGCATCCATCATTCCTGTTTTGACTAGTAGATCCCTTGCATACTTTGCTTGGTTCATATGAATACTTGTATCAATTCTACGTACCTCAAAGCCCAAAAAATACTTGAGAGAACCCAATGTTTTTAATGCAAACTCAGTGTTCAACTTGTGAACTATGCCATGAACTAGCTTAGTGTTACTTCCTGTCAATAGGATATCATCAACATATACAATAACATACATAACATCCCCATGGTGTCTATAAATAAATAAGCTTGAATCAACCACTGAAGAAGAAAAAAGCCCGATTTCAGAAAGGCAGTTTTGAGCTTCTCAAACCTGGCTCTTGGGGCCTGTTTTAGACCATAGAGTGCCTTGATCAGTTTGCAAACATGGAAAGGATTTTTATCATCAACAAAACCTGGAGGCTGCGTCATGTACACTGTCTCACTACGTTCTCCATTCAAAAAGCATTATTAACATCTACTTGTTGTATATCCCACCCATAGGTAACAGCTAAGCTAAGGATAACTCTAATAGGTAATGATTTGATCACAGGACTAAAGGTTTCAAGATAATCCACACCAGGAGTTTGCTGAAAACCTTTTGCAACCAACTTGGCTTTAAACCTTTGGATTGAACCATCTAAATTGTGTTTAATTCAGAACACCCATTTACAACCAACAATGTTCATATTGGGTTCAATTGGAACCAGCTGCCAAGTATTGTTAGAAAGGAGAGCAGTAAACTCACTTTGCATAGCAGATTTCTAGGCTGGATGGGAGAGTGCCTTAGTTACACTTACTGGTTCATTTGTGTCAAGATGAGAAAGGGAGCTTAGCTTTGGACCTGGTTATCATAGGGTGAGTGTTTAAAGTTTGAGTGGCAATGGCAGTGGTTAAAGGTTGAGTAATAGTGTGCAAAGGTTGAGTTGCAGAAGGTAGTTCAACTGTAATGTTTAGGTCATTTGGCATCATAGACTGAATGTTTAAAGACTGAGTGGCTGTTGTTAAAGGTTGAGTGGCAAATGAGCTTGATACTGCAAGAGCATATTTCCAGGCAAAATTCGAGAAAACCCATTGGCTTGAGTGTGCCTAGTCGATATGGGATCTCCAACACTCCCCCTCACAGTCAAGCCCATATGGTCCACTTGCCTATGAATGGAGGTAGTTTGGCAGCCCACCGCTGGCCAAGTGCTCAGCTTGACTGAATCTTGGCTCTGATACCATGAGAGTTTTAAGAGAAAACAGAGAAAAAAATACAGAGGAAAGAACGAAGAGCAAGTTCTGAAAAATTCTCACGCGTTTTTACTTACTTTTACTTTGTATAGTAAACGCACTTTTTATAGTGCTCATAACATTAGCTAACCAAAACACAATAGTAGCTAACTAACTCAGTCCTTAACTAACTCGGTCTATAGGTTACTTAACTAACCTTTTTCTAACTCTTACTAACATCCTCCCTTAAACTGGACTACTCTGAACTACACTTAGCATTTGTTAACATCTTTCTGTAAACAGAACAACTTTAAACATAACAACTTAAGACTACACCAACATAACAACTTAAGACTACACCAACTCTTGCTCATATGATCAAACTAGTTTTGCAATTCTCAATTCTCAAACTTCTTTGAAGACACTGATATGGGTCATTTAATTGTTGAAGAGAATGCCTATGATTTATGGGATTTATTTTAATCATCTTGCAAGATTTTGTTATGTTCTAAAATCATGTATAGTTTTAGGAGCTGTGAATATTTGTTTTGTTTGTTATCATGTACTCCTTCATGTTTTGTAAACATCTTGACTAATGTAAAACTTTTGCATATGAAATGATGGACTTCAAAACTAAAACATCGATATCCAAAAATGATAGAGACATTTGTCTGGTAGATAGTGCAATGAGGCACGCCATCCTTCAAGATATAAAATATTTTTTAGATTTGACATTAATTAAAGCTAAAGTAAATACCATTTCAGGGTCTATAAACATAATTTAGGGTTTGGAAGAGCGACACTCTTGTTAGCAAGCGGAACTAAGTCGAGTATCCCTGATGCTTTATATTCTATCAAATCTAGAAGAAATTTGCTTAGTTTCAAAATATATGACTCAATGGATATCATATTGAAACTTTAAGTGAAAATGATGAATTTATATGCACCACTTCTAATGTTTCATGCTAGAAGCATATACTGGAAAAGCTTCATGCTTTTTCATCTAGGTATTGATAAAGAATATTGAAACTTACGCAGAATCAAAAGTCACTAATCCTAAACTTTTTAAACTTTGGCACAACCGTCTTGGTCACCCAAGATCTACTATGATGCGTAGCATCATAGAAAACTCACATGGGCACCCATTAAAGAACAAAAAGATTATATCTCCTAATGATAGTACTTGTATTTCTTGCTCACAAAGTAAATTGGTAATTAAGTCATCCCTCTGTAGAGTTGGTCTAGAATCCCCATCATTTTTACAAAGATTTCAAGGGGCATATATGAACCTATTCATCCACCAAGTGGACCATTCTGCTACTATATGGTATTGATTGATGCATCGGCTCGATGGTCACATGTTTGTTTACTGTCAGCCCATAATGTTGCCTTTGCTCGATTGCTAGCACAAATTATCATATTACGGGCACACTTTCCAGATTATCTTATTAAAGTAATCTGTTTGGACAATGCTGGCGAGTTTACCTCAAAGGGATTTGATGACTATTGCACATTAATGGGAATTGATGTTGAGCACCCAGTTCCACATGTACATTCCTATAATAGTTTGGCATAATTATTTATAAAGCATATTCAGTTAATTTCAAGAACTTTGTTATTATGTATGCAATTATCGACTTTTGCTTAGGCTCTTGTTGTTTTACATGTTGCAACATTACTTCTCATAAGACCCAAAACATATCATCAGTACTACCCAATACAACTTGTATTTGGACATTAGTCTAATATATCTCATTTAAAAAAATTTGACTGTGTTATGCAAGTTCCAATTGCACCCCCTAAACACACTAAAATAGGATCCTAACATCATTTAGGAATACATGTCATCAGATATCTTAAGCCCTTAACGAGTGATCTATTTACCACATGTTTTGTAGATTACCATTCTGATGAGATAATATTTTTGTCTTTAGGGAAAAGATAAAGCCTCTTAGAGTAAGGTTTCAACTTTCTTGGAAAGTAAATTCTATGTCCCATTTAGATCTTTACACATCACAATCTGAAATCGATGTGCAAAAAATAACGCATTTGCAAAATATTGCCAATCAAATGCCTAATGCATTTACAGATGCAATGAAAGTAACAAGATCATATATGCCTGCTATTAACACACAACAAGAATTGATGTTACCAATGAACAGTCCATTCAGGTAGTGATCGATTCATCTGTTACACACTAGAAGCGTGGTTAGCCTGGCAAAATGGGTGGGTCAGGTGGGTACGAGTCGGGTCCAACAGGTATGGGTAAAAAAAGATTATTTTTATATGGGACCAAAATATTGGACTGTAACAACTGCTGTAAACTAGTAAAATGCTTGCATAATAATAATAGAAACTGGGCCAAAAACTTTTCTTTCTATTATATGTAATATATCTGTAATACACAAAGAGTATTATTTTACAAAATGCTATTTAAAAAAAAAAAAACAGGGGAAATAGTGTAGCTATTGCTCCTCGCTTGCCGACGCCCCTCCGACTGCATCATCACCTAGATCTTGCATCCACAAAGGAAAATGACGGGGTGAGTACAAAATAATGCTCAGTAAGTAAACTCTCTATCTATCTATCCCAGTAACTATTTTTCTTAATTCCTTCCTCACACTTTCTTTCTATTGTTTTCTATTAACGTTATGGCCTCATCTTACCGGAGGTATGGCCGGATGGCATTCACACAACACCATCTCACTCTTCATGACTGTCGGGTGGAGTTCACACAGCACCAACCCGCTCTTAGTGACTACCAAGTGGGGATCACAATGCATCTACCCGGTTTTCATAACTATCGGGTGGAGACCACAAAGCACCTACCCGTTTCTCATGACTTTTGGTTGCCGATCACAAAGCATCATCTTTTCTAATAACTATCGGGTGACGATCACAAAGCATCACTCCCTTTTCTAATAACTATGGGTGACGATCACAAAGCATCACTCCTTTTCTAATAACTATCGGTGATGATCACAAAGCTCAACCCATTTCTACTAAATATGGGTGACGATCACAAGCATCAACCCATTTCTACTAAATTCGTGTGACGTCACAAAGCATCCATTCTACTATACGTTGACGATCCAACATCACCGTTTCTAATCTTTCTCTACTCTAGCACTTCTCTTCTCTCTACCCGTAGAGTAGTGCATTCACAAAGTTCTCTCTCATAAAGCAAGTGCATACCCAAAGTTTTCTACTCTTCTTAAGTCACTTCTCAATGCACAAATAATGCATATGGATGGTTCATCTCCACTAATGCACTTAGAAAATGCCAACGCAAGTTGCAGAATTAAGGTTCACTACTCATACTAAACCTCTACTAGGCATTTCATCAAACACTCAAGTGCATACAAAACTCTACTATAAAAACATATTCTATGTCTTTCTCTAACCATCCAAAATGGGAGAAAACTCCCTCACATAGCATAATCCTGCCATAGAATAACACTCCTAAAAGGATTTCTCAATATCCTTCAATTCCATCTCAAACTACATCCCCAACCCACTCTCACTTCTCATAAAAGGTATGAACAACCTAAAGCATAATTATCTCCATTTAAATCTTATAACATAGCATATCACATGTAATACTACACACATATTGCAATTAACTCTCTATTCAAAAAGTTCTCAAACTCTACTTGGGTTGGGGTTTACTTACCTTGTGATAGAAGATCTCACTAGCTTCCTTTCTCTTGGTTTGCTTGATTTCCTCTACCTTTTAAACAATTAAACTTCAACCAAGAGACCTCAATATTCAAATATACATAAATCTCACAAAACTTCACATCAAAGCAAGAATCCTTACCTTAGGATGCCTTAGATTGATTTTCTACCCCAAATCACTCCAAAAGCCCTCTAAAACCTTGAACAATTGGAAGAGAAATTGAAGGAAGTAAAAGAAGTGGGTGGAGAAGAAGAATGAGTTTTTGCAATGACTTAATTCCTTTAATATACATTTATGCACAAGCATTCCCATTTTGCCTTACTCTTCCTGGGAATTCCATCTATACCTTTGATTCATTACAAACACATCCCATATTACCATATTCTCCAAGCAAAATCCTTACATTTTACTCCCCACTTTTCCTACTAATTAGGGGTAGAATGGTCAATTGCCCTTAGGAGAGAAATATCTAAAACTTAACAAACATTTTGGTGGCCCGTGCCCGGCGAAACTTCTGTCGCCTGCGAAACTGTCAGCAGCT